AAAAACCACTTCTGAGTGCAGGAGTAGTTCAGATTTGGTCTCAAGCCAGGGTGCCACTACCGTACAAATAGTTGCCTCCACAGCATGAGAGAGACCCCACCAGCTCACCTCACATCAGCTACCGGGTGGTAGCTACAGGGTGAGTAGATTTTGCCACCTTAAGCTGAATTTCAGCCAGCAACGAAGCTGCATCCTGCCACCAACCTATACCATCTTGCCCCCCCCCCCCCTCTCTTTTTTTTTTTTTTTTTTTTTTTTTTGTGGTTGGCCCTCCTCACACAGGCTATCACAGCCAGAGTCCAACTCCAGGCAGAGGCTCAAGATGCAGATTTCTCTTCCACCCCTACTGCAGTTAACAGGTGCTCTCCTTTCACTCCAGCTAGCAAAGCTCATCCAGAAAAATCACAGCAGGGCAGGGGAAAACTCTTCTCTCACATGCCTGGGAATGAGATTCGGTTGCATTTGTTGCAGAGTTTAAGTTGTACAATGTGGCTGGCTTATCTATGCACCTGGTTTGTGTTGAGGGATGGAGAGAAAGAAAAGGGGAATCCTTCTAATCATGTCACCACAACAAACCAAACACACAGGATTTAAACAGCCGAAATCGGGTATTAGTAGAAACATATGCCACTGCTGCCCCACTGATCCTGTCTTATACGCTGTACCAAATTTGTCTGGACAAAATGCTGCATTGCATCACCTCACCAGACAGGAAGATTCTAAAAATTAGGATTTTGCAGGACGAGCTTGCACAGAACAGGTGTGCAAAACTGCCCTCTGCTGTTTAGATTGAGACCTGCTCAAATAAACGATAGCATGACCAAATCAGTTTTTAGTCATAAGGGTCCACAGTGTGAAGAGGCAGAACTATCTGACTTCAGCTGTTTTCTGCCTTCATGCACAGCAGAAATTTCATACATGAAAGCCACTCATAACTGTCTCCCAGCACGGACCATCCGGACAGACTTGCAGGCTGTAGCAAGATTGTACTAACTGCAACAACACTCCATTCGGCAACTACCACGTAGTGGGTGAGCACCAGTGAACATCCTCTCACCCCAAAGATGAGTCAAGAACATCCTCAGGGATGTAAAGGAAATAATGGTAATCGTGAGTGTGCGCTGCAGGAGAACGTGCATCTGTCAACCCATTAAATCAAGGCCTGACCTTTACAAAACAGGAATGGAACTGTATGTCTGGAGTCAAAAGCTTACAGCAGAGGCCTCTAAGAGCTCATGATTATTAGGTTACAGCAGTGATCGGAAAACAGGGTGGTGACCTTAGCAAAAGACGTCCAGTAAATATTCTGTAAAACTAGCACCTGTAAGCCCCTACTGCAGGGAAAGAAGTGAGAACCTGGATTTTCTTTTCAAGAACATATGGAAACCACTGTACTTTGAAAAAGCTGCCCATTATCTAGCGCCAGTATGCTGGACAGTTTGGTACACAAATGTCACTAAAGGGCCAGCTGTTTTCTATGGCTTCACTCACACATTCATACACAGGCCGTGGCAAATTCTGCCCTCCGAGAACAGCATGAGATGTCCACATCTTCTTCTTTGGGAAACTCTGTTTTGGTACAAATGCAGAAAACAAGTACTGTTACCCGCACCAGCAGCTCAGTTTCCTGAGTGCCTCTGATGAAAGCTAGCCCAGTCCTCGTGAATTAAGCACAAATTTCAGCTCTTTGCAACAGGCTTTTGGTCAGATTTGACTGCTGTGCAGACAGGCTTTTTTTGGTCACTGCATAAAGGAGACTATAATCTATACTGGTCAGTGTAAACACACAAATTAAAAACCTAATCAATACTTGGGTACAACCGAAGCCTTGAAGAATTTTTTTTTTTTTTCCCCCCTGCATCAGCCCTTTTCATATCCACGTTTCAAAACACAGAAGCATGGGTGTACAGTACAGCATGCCTTTGAAACACTCACTAAAAGCACTTAGTGGCCACTTCAAAGATTCCCTTGAAGTTTAACTCATGTTAATTTTAACACAACGGTCATGTAGGGCCACTGTTCAGCCTAAGGGACTTTAAACACACCATCAACAGATGTACAAATGAAACTTTAGAAAGATTCTTCTGGGTGCATAAATAGCTGGAGCTTTACTTTGATGATGGCTGGCTGGCCTCCTACACAGCAGGGCTGAGACTTCTCCTTTTTTCAAGTTAAGGGCAACAATAATATTCTGTCATCCCCCAGGGTAAGGAAATTGGTGCCAGATGATTCAGTGTGTGCCTGATCACTCTGGTTTTGGATTCGGTTCCATTATCTAGAAAACTTAATGGTGAGACATCAAAGGTAGTCCTGCATGATCATGAAACTAGCTGGGCTTTTTTCTATAAAAGCTGCCTGAGAAGCTCGTAACTGATGATAGGAGACTTCCCAACACAAAACTAACAGACCTCTCATTTCCTTTATGAGAAATCCTCTTAGTGCTGAAAACAAGTACCCTGCTCTTGGAGCACCACAGAAGGGAAGATGGCTCTTTCTGGGAGAAAGATTAGCAGTTTTACCTGCAGTAAAATAAGATTACAGATCTTATTCACCAGCAGCTTCGAACTCAGCAGCAGCAAATCCAGAACTGGAATAGCTCACTTCCACCTTTTTTTAACCTACACAGGTGAAAAGAAACACTGTACTATGCACAGCTAATGCAATGGCATTACTACTACTGATGCAGTAACACCCATCATTACCACTGCACTTCCGATGACCTGTGCTTTGCCTATTTCTGAAACCAGTTCTAAATTACAGCCCCTTACATCTGTGGGCTGTGCATGCTAGCTATACCAGTGTCAGCCTGCCATTGCTGGAGCAACAGCAAATTCCCATTCTAGACAGTATCTTCAGGTCTTCACAGGTTGTAAGGTATTAGCTTCATCAGGAGATTTTGGAGGGGAAAAAAAAAATCTTACGCCTTTTTAAAAGGATTCATCATTCCCACCCTATTAGCCAAGGCACTCAAAACAGGTATCAGAGCTTGTTTTAGCATACTAACCAGGTACTGCTGGGTTGTCAAATATGAGAACAAATTTATACTTAAGGCTTCATTTAAACCTATGCTATCTAAAATTTTGTTTGCATCTAACTTTGCAGGATCAAGAAAACTAAAAAGGGTTATTTAGAGTAATATGCGTGTCTATGATGTTTATTAAAGCAATGACCATTTGTAGACATAATCAGACTATCACCAAAATAGACTACATCAAAATCAGAAGAATTGACACCCACGTTTCCCAAAACATATTTAGCTCAGGAGAGCTTTGCTGTAAGCTAAATTGTGAATTCAAATTGTCATCATTATACCAAAGAGTGTAAAAAATTGTTCAGGTTTGAAGGAAGGGTGCCACTTTGGTCTTATGCTGTTTGGGTTTGTTTTTCAAGGCAGGGTAGAAGAGTTTGATTTACCTTAAGATGACATTAAAGGCTGAACCAAAAAGATACTACACTGAAGTGACCACCAGCAGCAAGGACAGCAGGTAAATATGCTAACAGTTCTGTCAGCATAACCTATGAATTCTTACTTTTTACTTCTAAGGGTTAGAAAGGAAAAGAAAAACTCCTCCAAAAAGTCTCACTGTGCTCATTAAAAACAGAACCTTCTGCATTTTCACAGTATTTTTATGAAGCATTCTAGGTGCAAAATAACTTCATCCCTCTAAAAGAAATTAAAAGGAAAAGAGCAAACCAGCCATTGCCACCTGAAGATTATGGCTACTAAGTTTTACTTTTACCTTATGCTACCCAAACAATTCAAGCACAACAAAAAGACTAAACTGCAGCCAGCTGTTCAAGAAATTTTTGTTCGTACCAGCCATTAACTTCAGTATTTGTCACATTACAGAAAGATTCAATAGCGCGTCAAATCTTGGGAAATTGTGTTTTCAAAGGGTTAAAGGGGAAATATCTCCATGGCAAACTGCCTAAGCAGACTGACTCAGTAAGAGCCATTTCTACTCCCAAACTCAGGTATTTGACTGCTAGGTGACCATGAACTACCCACTTAACCTCTCAAAACTTCTGAGAGGGGCAATTTCTGAAATGTCAAGACCTATGGTTTGGAAGAATCTGCCTTTACAGAAACTTACACCAGGCTGAAATAAGACAGATGGGAATGTTGGCTAAAGTGCTCCCAGAGTGTCTTGCTTCTACTTGAACTATGCCACCTAGTACCTTACTATTAATGTATCAGCATCATTAGGACAAACTATCAGCTGATCTGAAAGACAGACAGAAGCATTCTCCTCCTTTCTTCTCCTTAAGTTAAAACAAGTCACCATGCCACCAACGTAAAGCTACATTTTTAGTTGTTTCTTCTGCCACCTGAGTGGTGATAGCACAAAACCAGAGAACAGCAGAAGCCAATGTTTTGACATTTAGAACATCCTATCAGTGGAAAACACTTTCAGAAGTATGCTTCTGCTACTCACTTGAGTCTGAATATTATTTGCCTCCTTTTCACCGGCAAAGGAAAACTTAACTAAATTTACAGTTTACAGTATTACACCATACTAAAATTTTACATCCTTTCTAATTCCGTTAACTTTAGCTAGTTTAGCCTGGGGATATAATTGTCTTACCTTATCACTGCAATTTTTTTTAAGGCAAATGCCAAAAACGTTAACAACCATTTTCTATGGTTTTGAAGACTAGGAACTGAAATGTTAACTGTCCATCTTGCAAAAAGGTTTCAAGCTTTCCAAAAAAAGCTCTTTACACTCTGCCCCGGGTTCTATTCCAAACAGCTTTATTTCAGACACCTGCATTAACAGAGCTTTCATGTTTGCCAGATACAGTTTTGACTTGCATCACTTTAGATGTTATTGTTCCTGACAGAAATGGATCTGCCATTCTTTCTGCAGCCAGTCATCTATTACCATTCTGATTTGCATCTCTTTCTAAGGTGATCGGTTACTGTTTAAATGATCACGTCTATTTTCTCAGGAAACGACACAAGGTTTTAAACTTAATTAAAAGCATTGGAAGACCAGCCATAACATTAAAAATAAATTTTAATGTTAAGTCATTTTTAGATCATTCGCTCTGCCACCCAAATGTTCTGAAATTTAAAGTAGTACTATAGGGACACACAAGTGCAGATAAATCTTTATTGCCATAGTTTTGTTTTTTCAAAAATGAGCATTGGGTTTTTAATAGGTTGTAGTTTTATGTCTTTATATGTACAACATTACAACTGCATATTTTAATAATAATGGTTAGTGATACTTTGATAACTCAACACAGTGTATTTATAAAATGAATTCTTATCAAAATACACTTTTCACTGGGATAATAAATAAAATCCTGCGAAACCCACCTACACAAAGTTACTTTTAACTCTGGTAGAACCCGATGTGGTACACAGTCCATTAACTACTATGTTTGCACCTTTATCCCCCTACTGATGCTCATCTTTCTTCTGGGGTAAGAAAACATTTTTTCCCCCTGTTGTGGTGTGACCTCATTCAACATCATCTTCAGCCAAGCACTGTGCACTTACAATTCTCTGTAAGAAGGAGAAAAACTCATTCACAATTACATAAAATTGACAGTAGGCAACTGATTATCAAGCAATGTAATTTTACACTGAACATCAAGCAGTGTAATTAGTGAGCTAACTGATTAATGTTAAAAATGGTAATCTATTTGACATAAGTTTTTGAAGTCAGTTCCGCAGAAATTATATACTGTGTAATGCCTAACAAAGCCCAAGCCAGATAAATAATATCCTATCAGCCTCAAGTGATGACCTCTGTGTGGTTTTTGGCACTGTTCTCCAAGGAAACATTTTTGCTCCATTGTTTCCCCAGTCCTCTACATCCTGCGTACCTGACACTTCAGTGTTTTTACTAACTATACAGACCTTAAACCAAAATGTAACCAGGCCTGAGCGGCAAAGAGAGCTGACTGATGCACAGCACTGAGTCTCTGTACACCATGAGGGAGTACCCTTGCATTTCCAAGAATGTAAAGCATATTACTTATTTTACAACAGACTCACCTGCTAGCATATTACCAACGTTACCTGCACACTACTCGGGCTAAAAAAGGAGGGCATTTCATACACAGAGCTGTGAACACATCAGCAGGGAAACCCTCAAGCTTCCAAAACTGTCATGTGTTCTGGTGCTAGTTAACATTTTGTGTTTACAGCTGGCCCAGAAGCAGCAGGCTAGCAAAAGCAACAGATTAATTCTAATGGACTTTTAGAGCGCTTACAGACACTTGTAGATTTAAAAAAAAAACCCCACAAACTCAAGATCCAGTGCAAGAACGTTACCAATTTTCTGATCCCCCAACTTGTATTTGGGAAACAGTGGATCCGCTTATAGTATCAGAGCTGTGGTCAGATGTGTCTAGAAGAGCTTAGCATACCCTATGCATGAGAGAAGCTATGTATTTCTATTTTACCGTGTTTGCTATTGATATTTGCTACATGATATTTTTCATAGACACTTTTTAATGTTTCAGGTGAAAAAAAGCTTCTTTCAATCTAACTGGACATATACAAAAAAACATATTACAAAACCCAATACTCAAGACTGAGGTAGTGGATAAGAGAAGTAGTTCAATTATTTTCAAACCAAAACAACGGGGAATGTTTTGCATACCTGGCTTATTGTAGGGAGCTTAGTTAGAAGCATTTGAAACACCGGCGGTGGAAGAGTCTGCTGTAGAACTTGCAGTAGCTGCTGTGGCTGTCCACACACAGCAATGGCATTGGTCAAGTGATCAACACCTTTCTCATATTCACCTGTATGACAAATCATAATGTTTTGAAATCAACCTTCTTCTGCACTGTGAAGTATTTACATAAAACATCCATCAACAGTGGATTAAATTACTGAGAATCAATCCACACTTTTCCTTCCTCCTCCCTTGCTGGATCTTCTGAACACAGAAGGTTAGACACAAGTAAACAGACTATCCTAGGTGAATTTGACTCCCCAAAACATCTTAGTACATAAAAATAATCTTTTAGCAAAGGTAAAGAAAAATTATTTCACAACTTGCCCTTCAAAAAGATTTATGCTATTACCTTGAGCTAGTAGTTCCTCGCCAAGCTGAATCTCCTCGAGGAAAAACTTCTGAACTGCTTCAGCATCTTTCAGATCAGGCAACTGTAATACACACAGTAAAACTGAAGTTGGCCCTTAAGCATCAGTTAATAAAACAAGATAGCAGAAAACATTCTCAGCTGAAATCAAACACACACACAATCATAGTGTTACACTGAAACTAGCAAAGAAAAAATTAAAAGTGTCACCATTAAGTTACGCAGAACGTTTTTGAAAATCAGACTCAGATCTCATATCATTGCATCACATATCTGTAGAAAGACAGAGCCTGAAATACCTCTACTCAGTTTATTAAGTACACAATTTTGTGGCACATATAAATTCTAAGGTGTGTTATGTTTATTACAACTATATTTCTTACAATTGGTTAAGATAAATCTATCTTTTCTTCCAGGATCCACTGGCGATAAGGAAAGAGAAATCAAATACTTATAGTAAAAACCTATCAAGTTCAGTTATAGCTGTATCCCATCAATGATTTTTAAGTTTGAAAACTTCTTGCACATACTACAAAGAGGAAAACACCATCAAATCACACAGTAAATGTTGTACCTCCTAGTACAAAGCCTCTATCTGACACAAAAAAGGAACTAACATTTCATATGGTTGGTTGTGAGCATTAAAAAAACTAAAGACTGCATATTTGCAGATGCGTTTGTAATGCTGGAATCAAAACAGATCTTTAAATAAATAAGACAAATGAAACATCTTTCAAAATAGCACTGCATTATTGAACACAGTATTACCTTGGAAAGCCCTGCTCTCTCTTTGGCAAGCTTCTGTTTCCTCCTCCCTGTAAGAATAAAAACATCTTACATTTTTAATTTGCAATTAAAAAAGCCTTCAGACTGTAGTTCAAAACCATGAACAAATCAAAGTTATTTTCCAAATAAGAAACTGGTAATATATTCCAAATATTGAAGACTGAACACAAGACTGCAAGCCACTCTCTGCAACAGAATATCGTTTAGAGGTCTAATGAGGGCTGGCAGCAGCATACCAACTCAAAATGGCAGTTCTTCTCCTGCTGGCTATGGTAAACACCAACTGTGCAGGGCCTGCAGCACAGCATACCTCACGTGCTAGAGGCATGAAGAACGAAAGAGAACTGGAGTAATACAGATTTCTCTGCATGATTTCTAACAATGACAAGCCACAGAAGACATGCCTACAAGTCAAGGCTATCTAATTTTGCACTATATGGTGCACCACCAACAGAAACTTTAGCAGGTCACGGTACATAAATGTACTTTCCCGGCCGCTTTAACGCAAAGACTTGGGAACTAGTTAAACAGGTGGCAGTACCTCATCACCCCACAGCAAGAGCAATACTAAAGCATACATTTCTGAAATCTGAGGAAAGCAAAGATGGAACAGACATTTCCAGATTTAAGTGCCCACCCTAAAGGCTTAAAGTTGGTCTGCAATATAAAGTTGTATCACTCCAGCAAAACTAGTGTAATGACAATGATATATAGTTTGCTTTTAATGCAATTAGGCAGGTCTAAAGACGTTTTATAGTAGCAGCTAGTCATACAAGAAAGAATAACTATATTAATACTGGTGATTTCCTTTGAATAATCATTTTTCTAAGTCATCAGTTCATCAACTGGAAGAGTTACACCAATATAACATTTAACTATAGCCTGTGGTTAAACAACTGTACTCTTACTATTTGTCCTCAGTGTCTGCTTGGTGAGCATTTACATTGACAAAGAACAACTGTCACACAGCCCTGACTTTTCTTTTAAGGCAATTTTGCAAGCTAGAAATACTTCCAAATATGACTAACAGTTTTCATGGAAATGAGTTAAAAATTTGCAATTGTCCGCATGATGAAGACATTCAGGAATGCTATTTCCTAGTAGTGATAATGTAACATGTGAAATTTATGGACAAGATCAAGTGTTCTTTATATGAAGGGAGTTCACATTCTAACTACACGGATCATCCTTTTACCTTCTATGATACCTTAATAACCCTTAGCACCTGAATTTCTACAACTTATTGACCTCTGTACGTTATTTTACAACATCATATACAGAAAAATGTGTCATATAGGACTGTAGCAGACTATAATTTTATCATTATGGTTTTCAATTATTATTTCAATTATTGTTTTCAATATTAAAGAAGAATTTCTCTCTTGAAAGTTGGTGCCTTCAATTAGCTCACTCCAAGTCTTCCAAAGCATTAATCTGCACAAAACTTTAAACTGCACTACTATGCAAACCAGTTTTGCAAATACACAAAATCTTAAAGATGAAATCAAAAAAGTAGTATCTGAAATGTTTCACTATCCAAGCAAGCCATGTTGCAACTGTAGTGCATTCAGTGAAAACATCAATGAAAATTACAGAGTAACAGCTTAACATTTGTACATGATTTTCAGGAGAAAATTGTGTTTTCTTGGCATGACTATGACATCTTCTAAAATATTACAACAGCTATCGGTCACCAGGTTAAGCATTCAGAGATAAAGGAAAAAAAGACAGGCTGGTATAAAAGCTTTTATTAACTGTATTTAATAAAAGCTTTTGACCACTGATCACGCAGAAATGAAATCATATACTTTAACCTGAAAACAGTAAAGGAATGTGAAGAATCACCAAGATTTTAAAACTGAACACTGATCTACAAAACCTTTCAAGCCCGATTACTATGCAATTTTTCTTCCTCTTCTTAATACATTTTTGCAGGTCTCTTCATAAGTCCACTAGCTAAAACAATTAGAAAAACCAAATAGCTCTAAAGGATATTTAGGAATTCTTCCCATACTGGTTGGTAACACTAGTTTTAAAATATGTTTGCAACAACAGCCGGAAGTTACATTTGCAATACAACAAGCAAAAAGCAATGCCTTTGGGGGGTGAGGAGGTGGAAACCAACACCCAGAAAAACCCCCAAATTTTTTTGTTCTTGCTCAGGGACCTCCAAGAAAATTAAAAACTTCCCTCTTTTCTAAAGACATTATGACATTTAAAAAAGGGGAAGGGCAATCTTTCATAGAAGGAATCTTAACACAGAAATGCACGTGCATCCACCCAAAAGAGAAAGCTAAACTGCAGCACTCAAAACTGCATGTGACTTGCAGGTTCTTCAGACACAGCTCTTCTACATGGGGAATAAGTTTCAAATGTGAACCAATGGGTAACCTGATGTGCTGGCATGGGTTGCAAAAATCCCCGAGTTGCCCCAGCAGCTTCAAAATCAGTCCCACAAAGGAGGAGAATGACCAAAGCTCCCATCCCTGAAGTCTGCCTACTGCTCTCCTCTCGCTCAGCTGTTCAGGCAGAAGGTGCCCTGAGGCAAAGTTCAGCACGGTCAGAATCTGAACGAAGAGATCAGCGTCTATACTTGCATACAGAACAGTTCTGTTTTATACATTCAAGAATACGAATAGTAAACACATCTAAATTCTTATCATCTTAAAACACAGCTGCGGCAACTAAGCAGCTCCAGATAGCTTTGCTACCTTTTGGTTCCCAAGATTAAATATGGACATGCCCCCAAACGAAAACCTCAAATAACACAAAACCTGCTGAATAAATAAGACATCTGGAAAACCAAAGTCCAGCAGTTCTTCAAGCCTCCCAGGAAATCAACATTTTTTTTCCTGAAACGTGAATCCGGCCACCTCATTTTTGCAATAGGGCTTTGTAATGTAAACTTTGGTCCTAACACAGCCCAAAGAGATGTACAATATAACTGCGATGGGAAAAAAAAAAAAAAAAAAAAAAAAAAAAAATCGTTCTTCATTTGTCAGCATGTGCTTGACCAAATACAACTGGCAATCCACTGACATGTAAGACCTCCTGTCCTTCCCAAACTTCGCTGACATTGCATCAGAGGCTGAAAACCAGTCTCATCCCAAGAATGTTACTGGAAAAGATCTGCTGTAAAGGTGGCTTCCACAAGTTTTTAATCAAATGCCCCTACTATTGCCCAAGAAACAGTATATTTTCATCTAAGGAACTGCAACTGACTGCTGCATTGGACCCTTTTTGGTCAAATATTTTACAGCCCAAGCTTTACTGTCCAAGAATAAAAACGCTGTAATAATCACATCAACTGGCACCACTACAGAAGCATCCATACTACAGAATCACTTACAGTACTAAAAAATAAAAACAAATTCCTTAACATTATCTAAAGCCTTACAACTAAAAGCAGCCCGGTGTATCACGTCCAAGGATCATAAGTCATACAGTGATGTCCCCCAAATGACAACAGCCATCCCCTATCAAACCACAACGGTTTTCCACTTTAAAGAAAATGACAATTCTTTATCAGAGCAAGTCTAAGGTTTATTCAGAACATCACTGGATAGAAGCCCAGATAACGAAAACAACGGGATGCAAAAATCACTTCCAGTGCTTCTGCAAAAATCTTATGTAATCCCATATCTTCTCTACTACATAATTAACTTAATCTTAAAAAGAACGCGGCTGATTATACTGCCAGCAATCAAGTTTCCTTGCGCAAGAGAAGCACATACCAGTTTACTATACTAAAAATTCCCAATGAATGATTTGCACTGCAGGGCAGAAAGTATTTGGAAGACACACAAGAAGTATGCATCTAAGATCCTACATACATGAGCAAGGGCTTGAAGTTGAAGTATTTGAAAGACACAATTTGCTGTGGCAGAGCTTACAGAAAGCAGAATTAACGCACTGTTAAGCATCAACACTGGTCACTCAACAAATTCAATCCATTAAGGTAGAATCAGAGCATTAACATCATTTAAATGTTTAAACATCATCAGGTAAATATTCCCATCTAGTTATTGACTCTTCCATCCATGAAACTGCTGATCATGCTCTGTTTACTTGCTGGGACAGTTTATCTTAATGGTAATTTCTTATCTTCAGATTAGTTCTCAAAGGAATACTATATGTATTCCCATGATCTAAACAACCCAGCACAACAAGTCTCAGCTTATTTCTCACGATTTGAGTACCTTGGATGAATTCGAGTACCTTGAGCACTCACGGTCCAAATTACAGTTGCATTTAAAACCTTCACCAATTATTAAGACTTATTTAAATAAATGTTGAAGACGTGAAATAATGAAGAGCCACGGGAGAAGAGCTCTACATTTTGGATTAATCAACAGTTTTCTCTGGCATTCATTCTTATCCTGGAAGCTAATAACAGAGCTGCCAGGAGGGTTTAGAATGCAGCAGATAAAATACCTGAGGGCTGCTGTCAACTCTTACCACAGCAACAACTTCGCTATAAGAGCTCGCCTTGCTTTATCTGACAGTCTTCCGACATCA